CAAGTAATGAATTTCCCCCACACACACACCATGTGTCCTCTGTCACGTCAGACGAATAGTTTTGCCTTATTTATCTCACAGCCATATGAAATTCAGGGCTTTGGGTATATTCTAGTGGAAGCATCATTTGCTTTAGGATTTGTTTTCCTAGAAAACGATAAAATTGAATCATAGGCATCTTATCATCAAAGGCTGTTTTACTCTAAGCCCATGCAACTCAAAGTGTGGCTCTAAAGCAGTGTTCACTCGCTTTGATAGGTGAAGACTGGCTAAGGAGTGTTGCCTCCCATTATTTTGGCGATGCGGTGATGGTCAGGCTCATAACTTCTCCAGTGATTGAACTTTTATTACATTTTCTAAATGGCCACTCTGCAGCATTCTACAGCAGGCTTGAACAACTGCCATCTTTCACTGTACATGGTTTAAGAAGCATACTTTAGAACCTCTGTGCTCTGCCCTTGCCTGGGATTTGAGCCAGTATCCGTAGATTTGATGGGGTCAGTATGCTGCTGACATCTAGTGGATACTGAGGACAGTCTCTTCACTCAAGTTCTACCTGGCCCTAAATTTCAATAGTTCCCCAAATAAGGAAGCCTGCCCTAAACCAGTGTGGGAGGTTCAGGCTTCTCTGTGAGTCATCTGCAGAAGGACTGGTGATGGGTCTTACTGTGGTCCAGGTAGGAAGTCAACCTGCTTACATGTGGTCTACACACTGAAGGATCCATATCTCACCCTGAATATCAGTACAATGTTTTGCAGATGAAATTAGAAGGTTGAATTTTCTCAAGATCCTTTAGAAGTATAACATAACACTTCACTTTACAAAATCCACTTTCGTGGATGCCAGGGTTTGTTTACAAGGTTAACCAACAGCCACTCTGCTGAAAGAATGAGGAGCTGCAAATTTTCTGGGTATATAGAAATTTCATGTTTAAGAAATCTGCATCAAGCCCATGCTCCAGGAATTTTAAATTGATATTTGTAGATGTGTGCACACTTGAGCATGTGTATGCAGGCTTGAGCGTGTGTGTGCAAGCGTTTGCGGAGGTCATTGTGGGAATCGTCTGCTGACAAAACACAGGCTAATGGCAAGTGCCATTAACTCTTGAGCCATCTCATTAACCTAGATAATCGCTGAGGCAATTTTTATGCCATTTTTTTTTTTATGGAGACAGGGTTTCTCTGTGTAGCCTTGGCTATCCAGGACTCGCTTTGTAGACCAGGCTGGTCTCAAGTTCACAAGCCATCCACATGCCTCTGCCTCCCTGAGTGCTGTGGTTAATGGTGAGTGCCACCATGCCTGGCTTTTGTGCTGCTTTAAAAATTCCTTTTGTTTATTTGACCATTTGTTGATTTAATTTTCTGTTGACTTCATGTTGAAATACTCTCAAGCAGCCCAAGCAGGCCTCCAACTTTCTTTGTAGCTAAGAATGACCTTGAATATAGCCCATGGTAGCTCAGTGTCCAAGTGGGTTCGCTAGTAGGGGAACAGGAACTATTTCTGATGTGAACTCAATGGCTGGCTCTTCAAGCCCCCTCCCCCAAGGGAGGAGCAGTCCTGCTAGGCCACAGAACATTACAGCCAGTCCTGAAGATACCTGATAAACCAGCGTCAGATGGAAGGGGAGGAGGTTCTCCCCTATCATTGGACTTGGAAAGGGGCAGGGAGGAGATGAGGGAGGGAGGGTGGGATTGGGAGGGAATGAGGGATGGGACTACGGCTGGGATACAAAGTAAATAACCTGTGATTAATATAAAAAGTAAAAATTGTTATAAAAATAAATAAATAAATGAAACCCATAGGTAAATGGATAAAAGTAGAAAAAGCCATCCTGAGTGAGGTAACCCCTCCCCCCCAAAAAAAAGAATGACCTTGAACCCGATCCTCTTATACCCACCTCCCCTGTGACAGGTTACTGCTCTATACCACTGCTCCCAGTCAGGGTCTAAGATGACCTTTTAAATTTAGAAATAAGAATTGGGGCTGGGAGATGACTCAGCGTATAAAGCATTTGATGATTTGATGTTCAAGTGTAAAGATCAGAGTCTGGGTCCCCAGAAGCCACATAAAAGGTCAGGCTGTCCTAGCAGCCAGTTTATAATCTTAGCACTTGGGAGGAGAAAGCTGGGCAGGATGACTGGCCTGAATGTGTGAATTCCATTTCAACAGGGGATGTTTACTCAGCAAATAAAGTGGAGAGCAATCAAAGAAGACACTGATGTCAAGCTCTGGCCTCCACACATATTCACCCACACCTAAGCAAAGAGGCACACAGGCACGTAATCACAGAACACCCCCCCCCCCAAAAAAAGGAATGAGACATGGTCATCCGGGAAAATTTATCATTTTCCTAAAATTTAGGCAGAGAAAGCATTAATAAATATAAAACACTGAATTCTATAAAAGAAAATTAAATTACATTAATTGAAACACAAGATAACTTTCATATCCTAACATTCCTGTGTGTGTGTGTGTGTGTGTGTGTGTGTGTGTGTGTGTGTGTGTGTGTGAGAGAGAGATAGAGGTGGGTGTGGGTGAAAGGGATGGAGGAAAGAGGGAGGAAGGAGAAAGAGTAAGATAAGGGAGAGAAAGAAGAAAGAGAAACCTCAATAAGTTTCTCAAGGGAGTCCACAAGAAGGTTTATTAAAACATAACAGTTTTCCCATAGCCTTCTTAAATGACATTTGCTGTTTGCAAATCTTTGCCCATAAGATGCTGCTCCTTTGTACAGAAGATAGTTGAAGGCTCACAATAGTTGTGTTCTCAGTAAGGTACTAGGCACAGAGCTCCATAAAGCCACCTTTGAATGAGTTCTGCCAAATGTTGTTTGATTAGAGTAGACTAATTAGATGGTTGATTAATTCTGCCATTCATAGATTACAGAGTTTAACTGATAAATAAATTGCCTCCAGTTAGCATTGATTCCCCGGTCATGATGACAAAGGACAGGGTGTTTCTCAATTAGACTGGGTAATCATTCAGAAAGAGTATAAATCAAGAACATAATCATTGTGTCTAGTTAAATCCAGCTAATGAGGCACAGTGTGTGATTTATTCTACGTATTACACATGAGAACAATAGACTCAATTCCCATGATACTCCGTGGCATCAGACTGTTCTCATAGTCCTTGCAGTGGACAGCAGAAGAAAAACAGTGAAATTACGAGACTGATGCTGTGAAGGAGTTCTTATCTGAGACCGACAAGACGTTCACACGCATAGCAGGATTCCTGTTACTGTAACAGTGTCTGAGATAATCAGCGTGTACTAAGAGGTTGATTTTGGCGCACACTGTTAGGTTTTAGTCACTTGACCCTGCTGCTTCTGAGCCTGTCATATGGAGCACAGAGTAAAGGCAGTACTCACATTGTGATGCCAGAAGAAAGAGAGAGAGAGAGAGAGAGAGAGAGAGAGAGAGAGAGAAAGAGAAAAAAGAAAGAAAAAGAAAGAAAGAAAGAAAGAAAGAAAGAAAGAAAGAAAGAAAGAAAGGAAGGAAGGAAGGAAGAAAGGAAGGAAGGAAGGAAAAAGTAAGAGAGGAGCGGAGGGAAGGCGGAGAGAAGGAAGGAAAGAAGCAGAGCCCTATAATTCATTCAGGGAATATCTCCAATGGCCTAGTTTTCTTCCACAAGCTACCACTGCCCCAAGTAGTACCACCAATGGGACCAAGCCTTTAATACATGTGTTCTTATGGAGGACTTAACCTAAATCATAGCAAATGGTATCAGAACATATTATATATTCCAGCCCTATGGACTTCTAAACTACTTCAGTTATATCCTTGGGAAGGTAACAGATCGCTCAACCTCAATTTTATTAACTTGATGGAAGTCAAAGCATCTTATGGCTTCCTATGCTATAATATGGCTCCTTATTGACAATCTCTGTATGACTTTCTTAATCTCCATGGTCCTCAAGGAGCCCAAGTTTAAGTGAAATAGAGAAGAAAATTTAAGTTCTCTTGCACCCTTGTTGATATGCATGGATTCTTGCTGCACAGGAGAGGGAGGGCTACCTAGACCCAGGAATGTTCCAGGGACAATGACGACTTCACAGTTTTCAGAGAAGGGTAGGAACAGGAACATTTATCTTCTAGGATCACATATCATACCCAGGTAGCAGCCAGTCTGGGCCCTTGATTACCAGATTACCAGTGCTTAACTAGTGAGGGTTCATGGTTTTGCAATGAGGCTAGTTAGGAGTAATGAGAAGTCAACAGGAAGATGGGAGCAGGTTCTTTTTCAGAAAGGTAATGCATGAGTCTCCCCTATCCTTATTTGTCTGGTTCTCTATAACTACTTGTTTCTACCTGTCATTTAAGAGACTTGCTGGATCAGGACTTCTCCTGATGTTGCTGTTTGATCTGTAGATGGGAATTTTTTAAAGGGGAGTGATGGGTGACTCTTTGGCCATTTTTCTTCCTTTTGAGATGCATACATACAGGTTTTGAGAGCCTGTATCAGAAAAACAAGGAAAGTCTCACTTAGAAATATTTATTTTGATTTAATAAAATAACTCCATACCAGGAAGAGAAATATTAAGATTAAAAAAAAATACATCAACCAAAGATGAATTCTAGCTTTTTAAATTTATCTTCAAATTTACACAGAAATTTTGGTTCTGCAGTATTCAAACTGGAGATGAAAGTAACTCCACCATTTAGCTGAGGGGCTCTCAGGCTTCTTAGGAGACAACACACAAAATTCCATAGTAAAATTTTATGGCAACTCTGGCCTAAAAAAAAAAAAAGTAATTAAAAGTTGGATCACAGCGTATTAATGGAAGACAGGCTCTGCCTTGCCCTTGCCACTCACTTTCAACTACTAGATCACACTGTCCAGAATTTCTTGTGAGGTTTGGAAACAGCTCACCTCACCCTGTGCATTTGCTGCAGCATCCTGAGGAAGGCATCTTCTGTGTCAACACCCACTCCTCCATGGAGGTTCAGCAGGTGCCACTCACTTGCTGACATTCTCTGTGCTCTCTTTTCCTTGCCTGCAGGAGAAGCCATACCAGTGCTCAGAGTGCAGCAAGGCCTTCAGCCAGAAGCGAGGCCTGGATGAGCACAGAAGGACGCACACAGGAGAAAAGCCTTTTCAGTGTGATGTGAGTTGGGGTCCCCTTTCCTATTCCCTGGTGTTCGTTGCCTGACCCTGTGTTTCTTTTGTGTGTCTCTCAGTGCCTTATACTGCTTGTAACTCTGGTTTGCATATTCTTTGCAATCATATTTTATTCATCATGGTTTACTAGCAGCAAATAAATTCTGATTTTCTTCAGGATATCTTCCAATATTTGATTCCATGAAGCTGTTCTTCCAGGGTATAAATTTGGAAGTGTTTGAGGCAACTTGAGTGTATACCCAAGTTTTTGACCAGTTAGTGACAGTTGAACCAGTAGAGTGAAAATGATAAAAATATATTGCCTGTGTGCCTGAATTCATTTAAAAATTACAACATAAAAACTATATTTAGCTACTCATAAATGTTAAATACAAATTGAATATTTCCCCTATCAGTGGACTGGGAGAGGGGCATGGGAGGAGAAAAGAAAAGAGGGAGGGTGGGATTGGGAGGGGACGAGGGAGGGGGCTACAGCTGGGATACAAAGTGAATAAATTGTAATAAGTAAAAAATAAATTAAAAAAAGAATGTGCATATAATTTCTTCAGGTTAAAGAATGCTACTTAGGGCAGGACATTTTCTTTTTTAATTTTTTTTATTCACTTTACATACTTGTTGTAGACCCAATCCCCTCTCCATCCCTCCTCCCTTCCTCTCCCCTTCCCACCCACCCCAGCTCATTAAGTTACATCAGGATTGAGCCTTCCTCTTCCCCTATAGCCTGGTAAGGCAGTCCCCGCCAGGGGGAAGTAATCAAAAAGCTGGCATGTGAGTCAATGTCTTAGGCAGTCCCCACTTTCCTTACTAGAGTACCCCCATGAGTCCTAAGCTGTTACATTTTGTGGAGGGCCTAGATCCAGTTCTTGCATGGTCCTTGGTTGGTGCTTCAGTTTCAGCAAGCCTCTCTGGGCCCTGGTTAGTTGGCTCTGTTGTTTTCCTTGTGGAGCTCCTGTCACCTCCAGGTACTTTTGTCTCTTTCCTCCCACTATTCCCCAAGACCTACACGTCACCACGGCTGTGAGTCTCGGAATCTCTTTTGAGGTACTGCTGGGACCCCTCCGTCAGGCTCCTGTCTGCAAGTTTCGCAGAGTATCTTTCATAGTGTCAGGGGTTGGCACTCTCCAATAGGGTGGGTCTTTGGTTGAGGGCAGGATATTTTTCATTTAGGATATGAATTGAACTGAAAGGAAAAAGTACTACTGTTCTTAATAAATTTTACAAGACTGGGAGAAATGGTTTCTTCCCCAGTGGTTATGTCAACGGATCAACCACAGTGTTAGAGAAGGCACTGGGGGTGCTTGTTCTTGACACATCAAAAGAGGGTATCAGTAGAATTTCGTATAAGAAGACACACTCAATTTGAAATGTATGAAATAGCTCAGCACAGATTTACTATAAATGCTGAGTTTACTCAAGAGCATAATTCCATCAGCCTGTTCCAGTGGAGAATGTGGGTGCAAGGAGTCCCCGTGAAAGAAAATCCACAAATCTAAGACCGTTTCCCTGTCCTGTGAAATGTTTCACTGAGCTAAATCAGCAATGTTATGTACTCTGACACACAAAAAATACCTTCATCCTCAGCACACTGTAAGAAAACCCACCTGTAGCAAAAGAAATGCATGCAAATAGAACACAGTCCTGAAGCCAGCTTAATAGTTCAATTTAGTTTAATTCTTATATAGAGGCTGAACCAAGTTAAGTGACTTGATTGCACAACTACACAATAACTATCTCAGGCATGAAATAATCTGTCAGTGGGATATGGACACTTTGCTATCATCATATCAACCCACCTTTGACTGTTTCTATTAAACATTGCTCTGGGTGACTTGACCTATGGTGTTACTTCTTCAGTTATAATTTACTAGTCTGGTTTGTTGTTATTGTGTTTTTCCGTCTGTATCTCCAGTTATACACATTTTCAGGTGCCTCCTAAAAGGTGTACAGCCTGCTCGGTGCAGCAGAGGCTCTCAGTGCCAACAGTCATGCCCTCCTGACCTACGAATTCTTAATCCACTCCTCTGTTTCCTCTTCTGTGCAGATCCCTTACCTTCTCTACATTTTAGTCCTATTAGCAGCTGGAGCCCATATCCTTTCTCATCACTTCAGACAGCCAGCGATTTCCCTTTGACGTGGTGATATTTTGAGATGTTTTTAAAATTTACAAGATTGACTTATTTCGTGCATTTTTTGTGTGTGTAGGCAGCTGTGTGCCGTGGTGTGGAAGAGGTCAGAGGGCAATCTGTCTGAATCCATTATGTCTTTCTACTGTGCAGCTCCTCTAATAGCTAATCCTGCTTTTCAATTTGATTAACTAACTGACTAAGTCAAATTAGTTAATTTGGAATTAACTAAAAAATCAAAGCAGCTGGGGACACCTGTGAGGGATTTTTCTTCACTAGATCATTTGAGGTGGGAAGATTCACCCTAAGTCTGGGTTGCCCCTTCTAATGGCATCCCTCAAAGAGGGACATGGAAGAAAGAAGCTTTTGCTTTTTGCCTGCTTGCCCTCACTCTTGCTGGTAAATTCAACTTTCCTGTTGCTGAAGCATTTCTTTACCTGTATGAGAAATTACTTCTTCAGGATTTCAACCTAGACTAAAATCTGGCAGCGTTCCAGGACTTCCTTAAGACTCTAACAACAAATTGGGACTGCTGAGATAGCCAGTCTTGTGGACAGAGCAACTGCTTGATAGTTGATGCTTGATGCTCGGTCTTTCCATGGGAGACAGCCACTCTTAGACTGCTCATACTATAGCCTCTAAGCCACAGTGATAAGCCTTACACACACACACACACACACACACACACACACACACACACACCACACACAAGTTCTGTCTATTGTCCTTTATCTTTGGAGAATCCTGATTGATACAGTCCTGGGGATGAAGCTCAAATCATAAAGCTTTTTATAGACAAAACCCATAGGACACTGTACTTTACCATGAGACTTTGTTATCTTCCAAGAACTACAACTCCCAGCATTCTAGTAAATTACCTGGACCTTGGGGCTTACAGGTTAATTCTGCCAGCTGATGGCCAAATGGCCCTAGTGAGTAAATCACCTGAAGTAGAACAAAGAGGGACAAGTCCTGCATTCAAAAAGCTATATTTGGGCACAACAAAAAGACTAAAGAGAGGATGGCACAGTTTTGGCAAAGACAGACTTCCTTGAAAAGGACTGTGCCTCTTGAGTTTACTTGTTTTCCATCAAGTACCAGGGACTTCTGCATAAATCAAAATACATCACCATCAATGGCTCCTGCTCCAGGCCCCATTCAGGTCTGATAACTTTCTGAGTTTCTAGTTACTGTGACAGTAAATTCTCCTCTCTCTATAAAGAAGAGAGCACACCTGTCTGATATATACTCTGTTGCCTGCTCTTATATCACTTCCCCCTGACAGAGCAGCCTTGCTAGGCCACAAAGGAAGAGGATGCAGGCATTTATTATGATGTGATAGGCTGGGGTCAGTTGGTAAGGGAGGAGGGCTTCCCCTTTCTGAGGACTAGGGAAGGGGAAGAAGGGAGAGGGAGGGAAGGTAGGACCAGGAGGAGTCCAGGGAAAGGGCTACTCTCAGGATATAAAGTGAATAAAATTTAAAAAATAAAAGAGAGCACACAGTTCTCAATTTAGTCTCTTCACAAACGTCATTCAGAATGCCAGCTTTCTTTGGTGTCTCCTTGATCAGAATTTATTATGCCTTTTGTTTCTACATTATTTCTACATGATTGAAGTAGATACTTTCAAACAAATGTGCTTTGAAGAGTGTCTATAAATAAACATTTTGTGCTACATCAGTCTTTGAATTGCACCTGACTTCCCTCTGCGACTTGAGTTATTGCTCCTCACCTGTTGCTACTGTGTACTTTTCATTACCAGGTTGTTTGACGAGGATGCTAAGCCAGGTAGCCATGTAGTGGAGTTGATGTGACATAAACTGTTTATATGACTTAGTTAAGCAGCATACATGCAACCAGAAAGAAGGAGATGGAATACTGGGTAATACATTTGAGCTGTAATGCTTATAGCATTGTTAACCAATCACACCGCAGGTGGTTATCATGCTTAAAGGATTCCTAACCAGTCACATCACAAGAGGCTGTAACTCTTAATGCCTTGGTAGCCAGTCACATCTCAAGTGGACCTAAATTGAAAACATCACAGTAAAAAATGCCTTGTGTATTTATGCCCCGTGGAGAGAAGTCTTCCAGGCTGTAAATCACAGCACTTAAGGAGTTGTTATGAATTGTAAATACACTTTAGTATGCTAAGGAAGGTATGTTCCTAGGAAATCATCCCTCTGACGTGGTCTAAGTCCAGAGCTGGAGCGAGGAAAGAAGGCTGGAGGGTGGGGCAAGCCAGGCAGTTAAAGCACGTGAGGCTTAAGGACTGCAGTGGCCTTCTTTGTCTGGGTGTGATATTCCATTTGTTGTGAGAGCAGTGCTTGCCCTGAGGCCCACTAGCACACACTTGATTGAAGGAATTTTCATAATGTACATTGTATATTTGACAGACTGGTTTGTCATCATAAATACAGAGTATCTGGTTCTTTTCTAGGTTTGTGACTTGGCTTTTAGCCTGAAGAAAATGCTCATCCGACACAAGATGACTCACAATCCCAACCGCCCGATGGCAGAGTGCCATTTTTGCCATAAGAAGTTTACAAGGAATGACTACCTCAAGGTGCATATGGACAATATCCACGGGGTAGCTGACAGCTAGTAGTGGCTGTCAAGGAGCCCAACCCTATGAATCCCAGGTTCTCCTCCCGTGATCAGCTTAACAGAAATAACCAAAAGCAATGCATTGATCTCACAGTACTTATTTGCCTGAATTATAGATGTTTTTTTTTAAATCTTATCAAAAAGAAATGCAAATGGAAAAATAATACTTTGTAGCTTATAAGATGCCTTAGGTTGTGTCTGTATTATGGCTGATTAAAAACAAAATTATGGCCCTCGACTTCCTTTATGCGGTTGATTAATGTATTTCCTCATTGGGCATTTGTGTTGTTATTCATGTGTGTGTGGTGAGGGATGCTCTCATGGAAATACTGGACATTGCAGCCATCTGACAGAAATCAGACATCTCAGGACTTCTTTGCAGATACCAGTAAGACCATAGGTTTTCAAAGTCTCAGGCATGAAAATATTTGATAAACAGACAAGGAGATTATTCTATTTAACAGCTCCATTTAACAGTTACCTTAAAATAAAAAAAAAAGATATTTTAGAACTAAAGTTCCTCTTGAAATATTGTGTACTTTAGAGAACTTTCAGAACACACCATTTTGTACATACCATTCAGATGCTTGTATGCATTCTGTGGAAATTCTTCATACACTTGACACAAAGTAACTGCAGTATTTAAATTTTATCATACTTATCCTTCTAAGTTTTAATGTCCAGACTTAGAAATTAGGAATAATAAACACACAGTTAGAAACAGAAACAAAGTCATTTCCCCTTCATCACGTCAGTTATGTGGAGACGGCCCTGGCCTACACAAGCTTTCAGTGCAGGTACAACAGTCCTCAGGGCCTTGGCATTCTGATGTGATTCTCAGAACACTTTTGAATTACCCTCAGTCATTCCATGTAATTAGAAATCTGGAATGCAAAGATATAAGTCTGTTTGTCATTATGGTTTAAATTTGTTTCAGCAAAATACCTGACAGCCAGATACAATGAGCAAGGCATGATGGCATAAAATAATAGCAATGTCAAAATAACTGAGAGAGGTCCAAAACAGAAAAATAAAAAGTCCAGCTCATGGCCCTGTGTGGTCAGAACCTGTTTTGAATAGAGGGAAGTTAATTAAAAGGAAGTCATGTGGAGGTGAGGGGGTAAGAAGAAAGGTTACCCAAGGATTTGGGAATCTCAGTTTAGGATCTCAAGAAACACAAAGGTTCACTAAGGACATTTAAAGCCTTTGAAAATACAGAGCTTGAAACTTACCTACGATAACTTATAGAAGCTGGTTCTTTGAGAATATCAACACAATAGAATAACCCTTAGCTAAACTAACTAAAAGGCAGAGAGAATATACAAACTAACAAAATCAGAAATGAAAATGGAGACATAACAACAGACACTGAAGAAATTGAAAAAATCATTAGGTTTTACTTCAAAAACCTGTACTCCACAAAACTGGAAAATCTAAATGAAATAGTTGAACTTCTTGATAGTTTCAACTTAACAAAGTTAACTAAAGATCAGGTAAACAATCAAAATAGTCCTATAACCCCTAAGAAAATAGAAGCAGTCATTAAAAGTCTCCCAACCTTTCAGAGGACCTCTATAGTAGGCTCCTATTCTATTCCCACTGTTCCACTACTTCTATCCTGTTTGCCATTCTGAATGAGATTTAAGCATCCTCCTTAGCATCCTCCTTTTTGTTTAGTTTTTTTTAAGTCTTTAGATTTTAGTATGGCTCTCCTATATTATATGACATATCCACAAGTGAGTATATACCATATGTGTCTTTCTGCTTCTAGGTTAACTTACTCAGGATGATCTTTTCTAGTTCCATCCATTTTCCTACAAATTTCATAATTACCTTGTTTTTAACAGTTGAGTAGTATTCCATTGTGTAAATGTGCCACAATTTCCGTATCCGTCCTTCAAAGCCTCCACCCAGCAGGGGATCGAAGCAGATGCTGAGACACACAGCCAAAATTTGGATAGAGCACAGTGAGTCTTATGGAAGAAGGGGAAGCAGAACATGGAGGGGACAAGAGCCTTATAAGGAGACCAACAAAGCAAAAAAAGCTGAGCCCAAGGAGTCTTGCAACTACTGATGCACCAGACAAGGACTATGCACGGAGAGGTTCTAGATTGCCTGCTCAGATGTAGCTGATTGACAGCTCAGGGTCCATGTGGGTTGACATGAGAGGTTCCAACCCATTGAGAGAGGTACCACTTCTGGGCTAGTGATCCCTGCCTCTATCAGAAGGCAGGCAAAGCAAACATGAGGACCAAGCCAGGAAGATTACTCTTCAGTGGACTCTGCATCAGCTCCTGCCTCCAGGTTCCTGGACCAACTTCTTTTAGTGATGCACTGTGATATGGAAATCTAAATGAAACAAACCCTTTTCTCCCAAAGATGCTTTTGTAATGGTGTTTCATCACAGCAATAGAAACCCCAAGACACTACCTAAAGGAGAACTGCTTAGGATTTGATCCATTAGCTTTCCATCAGTGGAACAGGAAGGGGCACATGAGGATCTGACCTTCACCAAGAATATATAGTTAATAAGTAGTTACTAAGGGAGAGGGCTCACCAGTCTATACCCACCCCTAAAGATGTGTGTGTGTGTGTGTGTGTGTGTGTGTGTGTGTGTGTGTGTGTGTGTTGCTGGAGGGAAAGAGATTCTTTTTCCTTCGCTGATAGAACGCTATGCTTCTCTAGTTGTGTAGTGGTTAATGCTTCTGTAAATAACCCCTCACCCACACTTTTCTAAGTAACTGCAATTCAACTAGCTGTTTCACTGTCTTAGACTTTAGTGAAATCATTTCTTTGCTTCTGTAGTGGTGACCTATCTGGAGTAAGAAGATGCTTGGCTCATGTTGCCCCATAAAAAGATCACACAACAAACTGAAGACCTGCATATGAAACACAAAAATCATGAAAAGAAAGCATGCATGGAAAACACTGTCACTAAAATTGGCAATCATTTCTTGTCCTGACATTGTTTCTGACATTAATACCAAAAGTTCAAAGGAAACATAGACAAATGGAACTCAAAATACAAGTCTACACAGCAAAGGAAGCAAAGAGAAATGGAGCCTACAGTCTGAATATAGAGTCAAAACCATAAAGTGTATGAAGAGCTCCTACAACATTTAAATAAGAATAAAAAATATTCCAACTAATAAATGGGCAAAGATCTTGAAGGCACATATCTCCAAAGAAGATATCCAAAGACTAGTCAGCACATGAAAAGATGCTCAGTATTACTTACCATGGGGAAATTCAAATCAATACCACAGTGAGGTATAAAGTCATACCAGTTATGGTTGCCATCATTAAAAAGAAAATAAAATAGAAAATAACAAGTTCTGATGAAAATGTACTGAAATTAGAATCCCTGTACAAAAAAAAACACTAATATTTCTACTATGGAAGACTGCATGGACATTTCTAAAACCATGAAAATTAAAATTACTGCATGATCCATGATCTCACCTCATGGTTCATAGCTTTCCGATTCTTTTTTGCACTATAAAAGAGAGTGATTTATAGTGAATGAAAAATTGTTTCTTGTAGTTTTGGAGATGTGGAATTCCAAGTTTAAGATGCTGCATTTTTTTGAGAACATTTTTGCAGTGTTAGTGCAGAAAAGGTGATGAATTAGAGGGAAAAAAAGATCTGTTCCACAGTAATGCCACTATTATTTTAGGGCAGAAACTTTATGATCTATTCAGCTCTTCAATATCCTCCTCTTAATACTGTCAACAGAAATTACATTTCCACAAGTTTAAAAAAAAGACATTCAAACAATAATGATATAAAGGAATTAGAAACAAGATCTTAAATATCTATAGCCAGGTACCTTTAATTCCAGTACGTGGGGAGGCAGAGGCAGGAGGATCTCTGTGACTTTGAGGCCAGCCAGATCTACAAAGGGAGTCCAGTACAGCCCAGGCTACACAAAGAAATCCTGTCTTGAAACACACACACACACACACACACACACACACACACACAAACCCCTTCAAGCTAGCACTGTTTTCAATACTAGAAAGATGGAAATTTAATATCCATTGATGGAGGAATAAATAAAGAAAGCAGAGTTAACCCTTAACAAAGAGAAGTCTGAGTCAGAAGCAAGAGGCAGGATTGACTTATCTGTTATGCTTGTAGAAGCCAAGAGGGAACCATGCGTGCTTAGATACCAGAACACTGGCTATTTCAAGCCTCAAGCCTTTCCCTCTTCACTGGCCAAACAAATGACTGAGAAAGAACAAGTGTGGACCCACTATAACTCATACTCAGATCTATGGACACAGATCTACTTGGGAGGCAGGTGTAGCCAATACTGCAGAGCAAAGCCAGGCATTCCTAGGCCACAAGATCTGCAGCGGAAACACTAGTAAGTGGGGAGAATAGAGAGCAGTTGCTGTGCTAGGACAGAGAACAATATCAGTGGAGAAACCAGGATCAATAAATCCTGGGCTCTGCTCTGCAAAGGCAGTCTGTGCTCTAGTCTGATTGCTCTGAAAGGCCTGGAAATATCTCCTACATCAACCTCCACAGGCAGAACACCCATCCTATAAGAAAACATTCTGGTGTTTGTGGCAGTGTGAAATGGTATGACACATCCTGAACTTCTGGCTTTAAAAACAGCGACAGCAATTCAGCTCAGGCCCCCAGAAGGAAAGGCTCAGCCTTCTCTGGTCTGGTCTCACTTATTTAGGAAAGGAAATGGCTGCACCGCCAAGTGAACTAAAAACAAAATAAAAAAAGCATTGCTTTATGCCATCTTACTTTTTACTACTACTATTTCTCTGTTTGCGTTATTGTGTTTCTCCATTATTGTTTTTACACTTCATTACATGAACTTTTCCTCTGTTTCTTCTCTCCACCTTCCTATTCCCTTTCTACTTTTTCTTTATTACTTAGCTATTAGTAACTTCAGTTTTAGAGAAATAGTTTAGAACTTACTAGAATGAAATCTAAACTTATCAGAACTATTAGGATACAGGAATCTTAAGAGGAAAATTTATAGTTGAATGTTCGCACCAAAACATCAGAATTATCTCAGATGACTTAATGATGTGGTTCAGGGTTACAAAGCATACCAAACCTAGAGCCAAAGAAAAATGGAAACAAATAATAAAGACCAAGGCAGAGATTGATAAAATAGTGACTAAAAAGATATACAAAAAAAATCAATAAAACTAGGAACTGGTTCTTTAAAAAGATATACAAGATGGACAAAGCATTAA